AATCCTAATTTGTTTAAGTCTATGAAAGTCTAAGACTAAAATTAGAAAGAGTCAAAGAGCCACCTGATTTAAAGAATAAAAACTACTTTTTCCATGTTTTCTTAACCCTCAACCACACTGGATTTTAAACAGATAGATATGATGATGCATTCTAATTGTTTTCTTGTGTGTATTTAGTTTTGAACTGCATACCACCTTTTGATTATTTCACTGCGAAAGATGAACAGGGATTATGTTTGCCTTTAGAATTAATTTTTTAAACTGACTTTCTTTGATAATTAAGTATGGCTGTTAATTTTTATTCAACATTTACTGAATGTTTCATTGCTCTGTGCTTGGCACTAGAGATACACAATAAAATAAGCCCAGGTTCCCGCCCTCAAATATCTATCATTTAACGAGAGGGACCACAATTATAATAAAACAATAATACGAGCTAACATTTATTAGGAGCTTACTCTGGGCCAGGCACTGTTGTAAATGTCTACACATTTACCTCATTTAATCCTCTTAATAGTCCTTTGAGTTAAGTACCATTTCATGATTCCTGTGTAACAGATGAGGAACTGACATCAGAGAGGTTAAGTACTTGCCCCAGTTTGCACAGCCGTTAACTGGGGGAGCAGAATGCAAATCCAGGCTGCCTGGCTGCAGAAAGCCCACGTTCTTAGTCACCATATGCTCTGGCCTCTCTCTGCCCTATAACTCAACTCACCATCACATCGGCTTCTAATTATTCTGGAGAATGAACAAGGCACCATGAGACTGACAGGCAGTGATGAATTCTGAGGAAGAAAGGATGGTGCCATGCGCACGGAGGCTCACTGGGAGAGTAGCAGGGGTGGTGCTGAGGGCACGAAAAAGGGCAGAAACAAAGGCAGGAAGCAAAATATATATATAACTGCTCTGGAAAAGTAAAAGGACCTCAGTTGGGCTAAAGCCCCAGATGTCGGAGATGAGGGAAATAGGTGATACATAGGTAGATAAAAACTGATTTCTACATTACAGTCAAGAAAGGTTTAAAGAACCAATTCTTTCAAAACACCAAAAAAAAAAAAACCCAACCAATAAAACAAAGTCTTTCACAAGTAATATTTTGTGATGCTAACATATCTGAATTATGGTGCCCAAGGTGTCAGAAAGTGTTTGGTCATGAAACATATTAGATTTGGTGCTTTAAGAGTCAGATGACAGGTAATTCAACCTCCCACTGGCCAGGCAAGTAAGGCCCAGCACTGGAATCATCGATGGCTGCAGCACTAGCTCTGCCCGGGGACAGTCCTCAGTCCAGGGTGGGAGGCACAGAACCCAGCTTGTTCGCGTGTAACAGGTAATACAGAGAGACGAGCAGAGTGTTAGGGGCAGAGTGAGGTAGAGAAATAAAGGAAATAAGGATGGAGGAGTGAGGACAGACAGGGATGGAATTAGCTAAGACTTTGTGAAGGTCACATGTCTACTGGTGTTAACACACAACCAGGGAATTGGGGAGGGAGCAGAATTAGCTGGAAATTCCAGCAGCAGAATTAGCCTGAGCCTGGCCTGAGAAGGGCCAGTGGTTGGCAGAGGAGCCATGGGCAGCTTGCTGTTACCGGACAAAAGGATGAGGAGGTAGGAAAAGATATGCAGCGAAGGAATAACTGCCAAATGATGAAGCCACACAAAAGCCAGGCTCCAGAGAGACAGGAAGTATCTACCAGGGGGGTACAAGGTCATTTCCATGTCGGAAAGATTTAGAATGATGTTCACAATATGAACACCCTGACATGATGCACAAAATGACCATCAGAACAACCTCTGCAGAGGGAGGAGGCTCCGAGACTCACTCTGCTCTACAGACACCACGCAGATCTGGGTGGTGTCCCTGTAGGATCAGCAGGGCTGAGCGGGCACTCATGGGCTGTGGCAGCAGTTGGGTGCCAAAGGTAAGAAAGCATTTCAATACTATACTACCTGGCACAGTTGTATTGGCACTTGTTGTCCAAACAGCAGTCCTAGGTAGACTAATCTGTATGAGAAGGATAAATTTTTTAAAAATATATTTTTATTGATTCCAGAGAGAGGAAGGGAGAGGGAGAGAAACATCAATGATGAGAGAGAATCACTGATTGGCTGCCTCCTGCACACCCACCTACTGGGGATCGAGCCTGCAACCCGAGCATGTGCCCTGATCAGGAATCATATCTTGACCTCCTGGTTCATGGGTCCATGCTCAACCATGGAGCCACACCGGCCAGGCAGGGATCAATTTGTAAGGAACAGTCTGGAAACACAAAGATTAAAATAGGTCACAATGGTTTGGGCAACACAGGATAGGAGTCCCTCCAAACCAGGCTGTGATGCTTAGTAAATGGAGAAGGACAGAGATTCAAGAAACATGTGGAAAGCAATCAAGGACGGCTCCGACACTGCTAAGGACTGCGTTTTTATGGATTTAACTTCATATGCCGCATATTTTCTCACTGAAGGGCAATATAATCAATTATTGGATGTTTGAGTTATCTACTGCTATATTCAAAGCATTCGGGGGAGGGGGGGAGCACAGGCACAATGAATATAAATTGTCCTGGTATAAAGTTTCTGAATTTAGCAAACTAAATGCAAAGTTTTCTGTTAAAGTGCTAAAACATTTTGAGCTGCCGACATTAAACTCATTCTGTGTCACAAAGGATACATTCCTCTTTTACTCAGTTTGAATCATGTCCATGTATGAAGCTTGAATAATAGTAGAATGTGTTCTTGGTTTCTGGACACAAAATGATCATAAAAGGGTAGAATAGTATGAAATTGACACAATTGAATGCTCAGTTAAAGCTTTCTACTTTAGCAAGTAGAAACTTTTCTTACCCAGAGGGGTAGATTGTGTAATCGATGCAATATATAGGGTTTTGCCATTTTTTTACCTCTTTCTACCAACGATGATCCCCTCGGATGGAAGGACTCCTCAATTATAAGTGCTCCTCAAGGACACACACCTTTCTCTCATGGGCTTGTGTGCAATGCTGTTTCTATTCCTTTTGTGGTTTTTCTTACCAATAAAAAATGCAATAAGGCAGGGAGCAGGCCTGCAGCAGTATTGCTGGGTACATCACGCATGCTCACAGAGCCCAGAAGCACACATGCATCATGACAACTTCCCTCTGAGTATTCAACACCAAGTACATAGATGATCATCAGCCATCCTGACCTAGTTGAGAACGTGTCGGTGGTGGAGGAATTGGGCTGTTTCTGAATTTAGCAAACTAGCTTGCCCTGTGGAGGTCACCAGGATAAGGTACGACAAAATACATGAACTCTTCATTCTTTCATTCATTCACTCACCCATTCAATATTTATTGAGTGGCTACAATGCATCAACACCTAACACCTTTGTGATCAATTACTATGCAGCCACCTAAGTGACTGCAATACTGTCTGTGACCTACACTTCAGAAACAAGCCAAAGAAAGTACTTAGTAATTAACATCTACAGAGAACACAGTCACACATGGCCACACCAAGCTAAATGAAAAAAATGTGGTCCCATTAGGGACCTCTACTATTTGCTTCAATGTAGTTTAATGAAACACATCTAAACCCCAAATTAAAAAAAAAAAATCCATAAAAACGCTTTTGATTTTTCTTGCTGCAAAAAGCCACACATTTTCTCAAGACATATCACGTTGGACTTCTTTGCCAAAAATCTTGATATACAGGTTGCCTGATTAACTGCCTTGTCTCGAGGCTGATTTCCCATTAGATCCAGTGGGCCCAAAGCCAAAAGCACATGATACTTTCATGTCTTTAAAATCAGGAGCAATAAAAAAGAAATGTAAGGTCAAAGAAAATGTTTTAGTATGTAATATTAATATATTCATCTTTCTACCACTGCAGTCGTAAAAGATTCAACTTTGATATTTTTGTGTGGAGCAAGGCGTACAAGGGGCGAAATGCCTGGGCTCTAGAAAGTTATCACGTATCCCTTCCTGGTCTGAATTTATTTTACAACAACAGCAAAAGTAATACCAATACTCCCTCCCCACAAATAACTTCTAATAAGGTTATTTTGCAGTGCAAACCCTTTTGAGTGTTCTTATCTAACGGGAAAGGGTCTGAAATGCTTACAGGCGATAACGTACCTTCAGTGCCAGACTTGAAAATGTATTGGAAACGTTGCACTTGAAGCTCAGCTGCTTGTCCAGGCCTCCGTCGGGGTCCCGCCTCCCATAGTCGGAAAGGCCTGTGCGGTCCGAAGCTGCCACTTTCTGGAACACGGTGCATGTCATCCCAGTGAAGCCAGTCGCCTTGATGACATAAGCTTCCAGAGCAATATTGGGTGAATACTTCAAAAGTCAACCAAACAGGGGTTATAAAAGATTTATAATATGGAAAAAAAGCACGTGCAAAGAAATTTCAAATGCAAAACACTGTAAATTAAAAGAGAACACTCGGATTCTTACTGAACAAAGATACTGTACAAAACCAGATGGCAGAACTGGACAGGATACGTGCCGTAAAAGACGCTGGAAACAAAAGCTCAAAGTAGAAAGATACCGATGAAGAGGAAAAGAATAAGTCATCAGCTGTGGAGGATCAGACATAAATCCAAAGTCAATTAAAAATAATTTATTTTAAGAGCGCTTTGCAGAAAACAGTAGGCTGAAAATGAAATGTCTTATAAAATCAGGAGATATGGGTTGGCCCCTGTTAATGATCGCAGTACAAGAAGAGCAATAGGGGCTTAGGAGATACACTTAAAGTCACCTTGCTCAGCACTTCATGCCATACTCATCACTTTTTGCTTTTACAGGATGATCTAGTTAATTCTTTGCATTAGGTTTCACAGATAAAAATTTTACACAGGCTCACTCCAAAGGTGCTTCTGTCATTATACTGTCTACATGGGCACCCTAAGATTCCAACAAACAACTAGAACTGATAAGTAAATTCAGTAAAGTAACAGGATACAAAATAAATATCCAGAAATCAGTTAAAATTATATACACCAATACTGAACTATCAGAAAGGGAAACTAAGAAAACAAGCCCATTTATAACTGAATTTAAAAAAAATACCTGGGAATAAATTTAAACAAGGATGTAAAATATGGACATGTAGTCAGAAAATTATAAGACACTGAAGAAAGACACTGGAGAAGATATCAATAAGTGGAAGCATATACTGTGTTCATAGATAGGAAGAATTAGGATCAGTAAAATGGCCATACTACCTAAAGCAATCTATAGATTCAATGCAATTCCTATTCACAGAACTATAACAAATATTCCAAAAATTTATATGGAATCACAAAAGATACAGAATAGCCATAGCAATCTTGAGAAAGAAGAACAAAGTTAGAGGAATCACACTACCTGATATCAAACTATACTACAAGGCCATAGTAATCAAAACAGCATGGTACTGGCATAAAAACAGACATATAACAAGAGTCCAGAAATAAACCCATACTTTTATTGATGGCTATCATCAATAAATCAACAAACACCTGTTGGCAAGGATGTGCAGAAAAGGGAACCCTAATGCATTGTTGGTGGGAATGCAGATTGGAGCAGACACTATGGAAAGCGGTATGGAGTTACCTCAAAAAATTAAAAATAAAACTGTTTTATGATCCAGCAATTCCACTTCTGGGAATATACCTGAAGAAACCCAAAACATTAATTTCAAAGAATATATGCACCCCTATGTTCATTACAGCATTATTTACAATAGCCAAAATTTGGAAGCAGATCAAGTATCTATCAGTAATGAGTGGGTAATAAAAGCTGTGGAACATTTACAGAATGGAATACTACCCAGCTGTAAAAAGGAGGAAAATCTTACTTTTTACAACAACATGGATGGACCTGGAGGGTATTGTGCTAAGTGAAATAAACCGGCCAGAGAAAGACAAGTACCACATGATTTCACTTCTATATGGAATCTAATGAAAAAATAAACTAACAAACAAAACAGAAACAGGCTGACGATACTGAGAACAAACTGACAGCTGACAGAGGGGAGAGGGGTTAGGGGTTGGGTGGAAAAGCTATGGGATTTAGCAAACAAACAAACAAACAAAACCTCATAGATAGTCAACAGTATGGGGATTAGCAGAGGGAAAGGAGGGTGGAGGAGGTAGAAGAAGGTAAAGGGGTGATAAAAGGTGATGGAAGGAGACTTGACTTGGGGTGGTGAACACACAATACAATATACAGGAAGTGGTACAGAGTTAACTCAAAAAATTAAAAAAATTTCATTAACCATTGCCACCCCAATAAATTCAATTAAAAAATAAAAGCAAAAAAAAATAAAGAAAAAAGAAAAGGAAGGGAAGTGGTCGTCTAAATAGTTGTACCTGAACAGATGTTCAAATTAAGCCAGAAAAATCACCTGAAAAAGACGGCACTTGCCCAACAATTTTAAGAACTTCACAAGTGAGACTGAACTCAGGGGTCTGCCAAACGCAGGCCAAGTGGATACTACAGCCGCCATCCCCCTTCTGGGGGGCCTGCCAGCATCACTCCCATCTCAGAACCACGCAGAGAGGGCACAAGAAGTGACCAGTCTTCCACTCCCAGGAAGGTGACAGAATTGACCCTAGAGCCAAAGGACAATGCAGAGTCTCTTTCACTTTTAAGGTGGTTAAGTGCATGCCTACTCCTAGGCAAGGCACCATTCTAAGTACCACATGTGGACAAAGTCCCCTGATAAAAAATTTCCTGTAAAGCATAGGACTTTCCAGAATGGAATTCCAGAATCACGTTGCGCTTACTGTTGAATACACGTGAGCTCCGTTTGCCAGGCGGTACGTGGCGATCCGCTGCAGGCACTGCACGATCCTGCTGCAGGCTTTCGCCTCCCTCTGTGCCAGCCACAGGACTCGCTCATCGGCCAGCATGATGTTGCTTGCAATGTCGACCATCACATCCCCTAGCTGGCAGGCAAGCGGGAGAGAAAAGAAACATCTTAACAAGCTGCTTTACATCATCCACATCCTCCTGAGAAACCAAGATTGGGTCTGCAGTCTAAATTTCCCAGTGATAACTCAACAGGCTCTGTACTTGTTTCCCATTAAAACCTCTTCAAGTAAGAATAGCACATTCAGCCCTGACCAGTTTGGCTCAGTGGACAGAGCGTTGGCCTTCGGACTGAAAGGTCCCAGGTTCAATTCTGGTCAAGGGCATGTACCTTGGTTGCGAACACATCCCCAGTAGGGGATGTGCAGGAGGCAGCTGATCGATGCTTCTCTCTCACTGATGTTTCTGACTCTCCCTCTCCCTTCCTCTCTGTAAAAAATCAATAAAATATATTTTTTTTAAAAAAGAATAGCACATTCGATTATGACCATTGGTGATAGTTAAGTCAAAACAGGGTAACTACGTGACCACCAAATCATTGGTGAAAAGATTGACATGTGTCATTCAAATTGAGGGGGTGGGAGGAGAGACAAATTAATCAAGAGGAAGGAAAAGACATCACATGATCCACAAATAAAAAGATCTAAACTCACCCTAACCGGTTTGGCTCAGTGGATAGAGTGTCGGCCTGCAGACTCAAGGGTCCCAGGTTCGATTCCGGTCAAGGGCATGTACCTTGGTTGCGGGCACATCCCCAGTAGGGGGTGTGCAGGAGGCAGCTGATTGATGTTTCTCTCTCATCGATGTTTCTAACTATCCCTCTCCCTTCTTCTCTGTAAAATCAATAAAAATATATTGAAAAAAAAAAAAGATCTAAACTCTGGGAAACCATTTAGAAACATTTTTTGTGTGTGTGTGTGAGTGTTAGCTTAGTAATATTATGAAGAAACAACCACTGTCTAGCTTTTTAGTTTCTGGTCATGTTCAAAACCCTAGTCATGTCCAACCACAGGAAGTTCCCGCCTACACGGGGCCATGGAGTGTGTCCTCGCACAAGTAGCTTCCTCTACCTCGAATGAACTCGTCCTTCCCTTTCCCAATTCCATGAAATAACTGGATCCGAACACGTGCACACTTTTGCATTACTTGCTTTATTGAGTTAGTGGATTCTTTCTATTCACTCGGTTCATAACTTACAGATGTAAGCATCTGTCAGGCAATGCCAGTGAATGTCCACTGACTACTGCTGACTTGCATGCCCCATGTCAGAGAATGCATTGGAGGTGCAGGGCTAATGAGACGTACCGGTGTCCAGGGGGGCTGGTATTGAGCTAAATGTTCCTGAGAGGGAGATCTATGGCAGAGAGAACAGCAAAAGCACTCCCGGGGGCGGAATCAGAGGAGTTAGAAGCCGGCTGGCTCTCTAATCAAGACGCAAGCATCAAAGGTGTGAGGCCCCGAAGCTGAGCCGGAAAGCCAACGCTGCTTGCGAATGTCTTTTGATCATAGCAGAGGATCCCAGGGGAGCCTTCCAACCCCTTCTGCACCCACCACTCTTCCCAGGATGTATCATTATGAGGGCTGAGGTGGGTTTGGAACAAATTCAGTCTATCCCACCCAGAGTCCACTTCACAAAGACAGGCCTACGGAAATACCCCCGACACCAAACTCGGGAACAAGGGGTTGAATAACTAGAGTAAGTACAGGGGTGAAGACCAAGAATTCAAATCCTGACCCCTAGCTGTGCTGGCCATTTAACCTCCAGTACCCTCCTTTATGTGAATAAGGGGGACAATAACACTCCTGTCTGTCCTGAATGTTGTGAAGATTAAGTCCCGATGATACACATAAGGCTCCCAAGACCACGCCCGGCACACGGCAAACACTCAGCAAGTGTGAGCTCTCCCTGCAACTTTACTGCTCCTGTTTCTAACACTTGCATCCCAATACAGGCTCTCTTTGAAGATCACAGGCTCTGGAAGAAGTGCTAGGAAGGGCGCATTTTTAAGTCTGTCCATATGCAAACGGGACCCATGTGTCCAGCAAAACTGCCTCTTCCTCCTCATACTGGACCCATGCAATTAAAAAAATACTTCACTGGCCTTGCACTGCCCTGCACAGAGTGTATCACGATCTGTCCTTATTTTACTTTCAATGTAAACACCCCAAGGGCAGGGGCAACTCAATGTCCTACTTATATTTATAGCCTTGTTCACGAGGAGTCTAACCCCTGGTGTAAAAGCCAATAGCAATACAATATTCATTTGCTCACTGACTAAATATTTACCGAGGACCAAGGTGAGCAGGACATTGTCCTGAGGAATGGAGACATAGAAGTGAAAGAAACACACTTATAATCTAGTGAAGAAAACATGAAATAAGTACATTCTTCAAAAGTACTCTAGGCCCTAGCCAGTTTTCTCAGTGGTTAGAGTCTCAGCCCTCTGACTGAGGGGTCACAGGTTCAATTCCAGTGTATCTCACATGCAGGCTCAATCCCTGGCCCCCTGTTGGGGTGTGTGCAGGAGTCAACCAATCAATGTTTCTCTCTCTCAGTCTCTCTCTCTCCCTTCCATTCTCTCTAAAAATCAATGGGAAAAAATATCGTCTGGTGAGGATTAACAACAACAACAACAAAAAAGCGCTTTAGATTACAACTGCAATGAAGGAAATAAGCAGAGTAATAAAGATGAAGAGTAATGGAATTTAATTCAAGCACCCTGTTTTAATAGACTCACACATTCTCAAAGGGCAGTTTCCCCAAACTCAAGAAATTAACAGCATCAACTGACAGAGAATGAAGAGCCAATACTGAGGCTTTGCAGAATCCCGAGCCTGTTTGCACAATTCATGGACCATTAGCATCCCCAGCACTGATTCCTACTAAACAGGTGTGAGGTGAATTTAATTCTAGCAGAAGCCCTTATTTCTGAAGTTATGAAGAAGGGCAGGGACTCCAATATGTCAATTACTGAATATGCAGATCAGCTGTTTATGTAGCAGATCAGCTGTTTATAATAATATCTACCATCTCTCAAAGGAAATTCAGAGTAGCTGGAATATTTTTGCTAAGTTTTTGTCGATTATTTTTACTTACTATTATATCAAATTTTCATACAAAAATAAATAGGATAAAAGAGATGATGTGGTAAAGAGGCTCTCTGACTCTCATAAAATAAATCCCCATTGGCTGCAAAAACTTGAAAGAAAAACCACAGGAAAATACTAGTTCTACTCTAAGGAAGTGTTACCGGATTCTCACAATGACAGACTTCTTGTTTTATATGTTTTAAAAGTTTTAAATGTACAAACTTTATGACGATCTAACATGAGGCCTGCTGGCTACTGAAAAGCTATCTACACTAATAAAATACAAAGATGCTAATTGACCCTACCTTCACTATGCCCAAGCCACGCCCACCAGCCAATCAGAGTGACTATATGCAAATCAACCAAACCAAGATGGCGGCCGGCAGCTATGGAGATGGAGCAAGCAGGAGGCTTGGTTGCCCTGGTGATGGAGGAAGCCAAGCTTCCCGCCTGCTCTGGCCTCTGCAAAAGGCAACAAAGTTTCAATTATAGAAGCTAAATAAATCCCAGATACCTGCTTCCAGCCAGCCTCCACTGGGAGCTTGGGTGGCTGGGGGATGTGGCCAGCCTGCAAACAGCCATCAGCCCCTCACCCAGGCTGGCCAGGCACCCCAGCGGGACCCCCACCATGATCCGGGACACCCTTCAGGGCAAACCCCCTGGCCCCCACCCGTGCACCAGGGCTCTATCCTATATAACAAAAGGGTAATATGCAAATTGACCCTAACAGCAGAGCGACTGGGAATCACTGGTCACTATGACACACTGACCACCAGGGGACAGATGCTCAATGCAGGAGCTGCCCCCTGGTGGTCAGTGTCTCCCACAGGGGGAGCTCTGCCCAGCCACAAGCCAGGCTGATGGCTGCCAGTACAGCGGTGGTGGTGGGAGCCTCTCCCGTCTCCTCAGCAGCACTAAGGATGTCCGACTGCAGCTAGGCCTGCTCCCCGCTGGCAAGTGGACATCCCCCGAGGGCTCCCGGGCTGCCAGAGGGATGTCTGACTGCCAGCTTAGGCCCGATCTCCCGGGGAGCGGCCCTAAGCCAGCAGGTGGTTATTCCCTGCGGGGTCCCAGACTGCGAGAGGGCACAGGCTGGGCTGAGGGACCCTCCTGAGTGCACAAATATTTGTGCACCGGGCCTCTAGTGATTATTATAAAATCAAAAACCACTGCTATGGCTCACCTGATAATGCCAGTAATGGAATTTAATGTGTTAATAATTGTAAGACAAGAAATATCTCTAAGAAGGTAGGCAGTTAACTCGAGTGACTGCCTTAAGTTGAGAAAAACCTATGTTCTTCATTGTTGCATCCTAAATGGCAAAGAACTAAGGGAAAGGAAATGATGCCAACATCTTCCCGAGCATAGGGGATGATAAAATGCTGTAGGCGTGTGTGGCTGGGTTACAGAAGCAGTTCTGAATCCTCCACAGCGGCAAAAAGGGCACAAAAGGGAGAGCAGTGCATAAAACATTACACTGGAGTAAAAAGTATTCTTGAAATCTGACACACAGAGAGCTTCAAACCCGCAGCCGGCATGAGAAAGCATTGTACTTCCCCTTGACCCCATTCCCTGATGGCCACTGCAGCCACAGAAGGGTCAGAAGGCCTCACGCACCTGCTCTCCCACCTGTCACACTCAACGGCCGGGATCAGATGAAAATGCACGGGAACGCACTCTATCACAGATAAAGGCCAAAGGATGAAAATGCCACATTAATAACAATGAAACGTTAAATGTCATCTGTTTTAAGAGACAGAAATAGTTCTTGTTCTTCTCGATACGAGGGCTGAGCAAAAGGAGGTTCATAGTTGTTCGTATGGAAAAAGACATGCAGGTTATGATGATTACAAGATCTGGATAAACTCTGTGTTTCGCCTACTCGCAGCTGTAAACTTGCTTTGCCCACCCTTGTATAGTATATGTTTGGAATTCTGATCCGAATGAGACCAAAATCATCAGTAAATTTCATGAATTTGATGTGGTA